AGCTCGCTATTCCGGCGAATCTGGCTAGCCAGCCTGCTCCAGGGATTCTCTGTCTGGCTTCTAAACCCTGGGATTACAGGTGGGTTGCCACACCCACCCAGCTTTTACTTGGAGCCTCGGGATCTGAACTCTGGTCTTCATGCTTGCATAACCAGCACTTTAGTGCTAAGCTACTTCCCATCCTCTTTTAGCTTCCTTGATACCACTAATTGCAACATTTACATTTTGATAGGGTCTCGAGTGTAGTGAGCCAGACAGGATCGCCATTACAAGATGGCGCCGACATCCTGTCTTGTTGGAAATAAACAACTCCATATTTGGCTATGTCTTTGATAGCTGCGTGTCCCCCGCTTCCCGCATGCGCGGTGGATGAGGATCCTTGAGCCTATCCCCATACGGTCTGGTGTCAGCTGTTGGTGGCAGCCAATCACAGGGCAACCCGTGTGCCATTTCCCTATTTAAGTGGCTGCCTAAGTGCCCCCGGCCCCTTTGCTTCCTGCTGCCTCTCCCCTTAGCTCCCTGCCCCTTTGCTCCCTGCCCCTTCGCTTCATGCTCTCCCTGCCCTTCCCTTCTTGTCCCTCGTTTTCCCGCCCTCTCGTTCCCTGCTCCCCATCAATCAAGGGCACTCCAGTAAAAGCATGATCTGAGTGGAATCCTGATGTGGTGCTCATTCTTCGGTCGAGAAGTCCGCCACACTCGAGTATTTTTGTTTTAGCTATTGTATTTAGGTTTATGACCCATTTTCAGTTTGTTTTCATCTATAACTCAGTATTTGCAAGAACTATGTAAGATGGATTTTATTCTATTACCTTAACAGATATGACTCAGACTCTAAGTGAGCTTCCCAAGATCACACTAATACATGTTGATGCTAGGATTCAGACATAAACATGAGACCAAATTCAGTTACACATTTTATCATGCCACACACAGGCCCACTGAGCATTGCTGGCCTTAGACCTTAGCTATTTTCAAAGTAGAGAACATATCCACATTCCGTAATTAGGTAAGATAGAGAAGAAGTTAAGATTTTACCCAAAGAAGGGTTCACTTTGGAATAGCTATTTCATTAGTGTTTATACTGGAAATAAAGTAATTTGGTAAATACCTTATGAGGCTAGACTTCATTAAAAAGACATGTACTTCAAGATGAAAACACACATCAGAAGACCAAGTAGATTCTCTTAAGGCATGGCCAGTGAACAAGAAGCCATTTTGCATCACTTTCTTTCTTAATTAAATGAGGCTACACGAACTGTTATAGCCTACATTTTCTAAGATGAAGCCAACAATCTCACTTCAGAGGATGAGCTTGGACCGTCGCTTCAGGACCTTAAGTAGCTCATCGATCTTGCAGGTGGGAGATGCTCAAATGGAATAGAAATGAAGAGTAACCAGCTGTAGGAGGAAGACAAATGGGAGGAGGCAAAAATAAATGGGCACATTGCTTAGACAGTGACTCATCTCAACAGCGCATGTTTGGGGACTGTCAATCCTAAATGACAGTGGAATGCCATGGCTGCTGGGGAGAGTTTTCCACAGCAGGATTCCAAAGTCCGTTTGTTTGATCACTTAGTAATTATTCTAGACTTGGTCTGGAGGTCTGTTCTTCTGGTTTGTTCTATTTTCTTGTCTGTCTTCCTGCATGGCAGAGAGAAGGGAAGGAAAAGAAATGGGTATAAGGACGGAGATGGCTGTTTTTATAAAGACTCTTGTTGCTTTTGTTTTTTATTCTTTGGTCTTTTGGGGGCCCGTTACCTAGCTCCTAAGTAAGTACACACACACACACACACACACACACACACACACACACGCTTAGTATTGCTTATGAATGTTCAGCCTTAGCTTGGCTGATTTCTAGCCAGCTTTTCTTATTTTAAATTATCCCATCTATCTTTTGTCTCTGGGCTTTTATCTTTTTCTATTTTTGTGTACCTTTCTTTACTTCTCTATAGCTTGCTGTGTAGATGGCTGGCTGGCCCCTGATGTCCTCCTCTCCTCCTTTTTCTACCTTGCTCCTTCTGCTCCTCCGCCCAGATTTCTCCTTCTATTTATTTTCCCTACCAGCCCCACCTATCCTTTTTCTTGCCTCACTATTGGATGCTCAGCTTTTTGTTAGGCAATCAGGTATTTTAGACAGACAAAGAATCACAGCTTCACAGAGTTAAACAAATGCAACATAAAAGAATGCAATACATCTTTGCATCATTAAAACAAATGTCCCACAGCATAAACAAATGTAACACATATTAAAATAATATTCCACAAAAGGCTCTAATTCCATTTATCAAGGTTCCATGCCATCCATAGTAAAGAAGTACCCTGGGTTGTTGGAAGAGGAGGGGAAAAAGGAACAGATTTTCCAGTCTGTAGACAACTTCATTTCAGATGACACCTGTGAAACACACGAGAGGAGATATTCTTCTTGCTTTGTTGACAGAGGTTTTCTGTCCCACCAGGTCCCACGTCCATTTAGTTCCAAATAAACAAACAGAGTCCTACATTAATTATAAACTGATTGGCCATTTAGCTTGGGCTTCTTACTTACTCTTATAACTCATATTAGCCCATAATTCTTGTCTGTGTTAGCCACATGGCTTGGTACCTTTTTCAGTGAGGCAGTCACATCTTGCTTCCTCTGTGTCTGGATGACAACTGCAGACTGAATCTTTCTTCTTCCCAGGATTCTCCTGGTCTCCTTGCCCCGCCTCTACTTCCTGCCTGGTTGTCCCACCTATACTTCCTGCCTGGCTACTGGCCAATTAGCGTTTATTTAAAATATAAGTGACAAGGTACAGACCATGTTCCACAGCATTGCTTGATATCAAGTGTGGAGACTACTAGGAGAGCAGAGTCAAAGAGAAGTAGGGCTGAGTTAGTTGTCCTCAGGAAGACATCATCAGTGGAGTATCTCCTGCGCAGAAGGGCTTCTTCAAGGTCTGGTCTTGTTCATAAGTCACCCTCTTCTAAAGACATGGACACTATCAACTTAGTTCCATGGATAAAGAAATTAAGGCTGAGAGAAAAACACACTGTCCAAGGTCATACTGCCCATGGATAGGTGGTGAGTCTGATTGTAAAAATGTAATGATAGCTAATAAAGAGCCCAGTGTCCAGGCCTTACTGGGAGGGCCTGATAAGTGTGTCCATGGCATCAAGGTTGCTCACTTACATAAGCAATTAGGGAGCTCATGCCTGGGAAAGACTGATTCTCCCTCAAAGCAGTCGTTAGTCACCTGTAGTTCCTTGTCTAGGAGTTGGACCACTTGTGAGGTTCTCCCCTTCCATGTTAGCAAGTTTGGTGTTGTCATTGTTTGGTCATGTGTAGGATGTCATATTGTTGAAGTCTTCTGGAAGTAGCTTCTCTACCATTTCTAGAATCTCATATCAGACTCCCAGGTGCTCTGACTCTAACAGTCTTCCCACGACCTTTCCTATGATGCTCCCTAAGCTTTAGGGCAAGAGTTGTGTCATTGATCTATACACTAGGGCTGGGCAGCCCATGACCAGTTGATCTCTGCATTTAGAAATTTGTGATTTCCAGAGACCGTCTTTTGCAAGGAGAGTGAGAGCTACACTTATCTGTGGGTTAGAGATTACAGAATTGTGCTGGTCTACTAAGGTATGTTCTTCTATAACTCCCGTGGTCTCACTAGCTCCAGGTTGTCTTCTAGGTTTCTAGTACCAGCCATGATTTCCTTCCTGATGAGTGGGCCTTAAACCAATTAGACAGCTAGCTATTGGTCAGCACCAAGATATGAGTACCACTACCTCACTTACTGATATCTTGCCATGCTGATCACCGTCGTTCATAGATGACACGGATGGGTAGGACCACTGACTGCTTCCCTCCTGTGGCAGTTACATGGCACCTTCTGACACTCTGAAAGCTAGAACTTACGAAGGAGGGTTTCAGGTCAAATCTAGCTAATCTTCTGAACCTTATGTCCAAATGTATGGTGTCTTCAGCAATAGGGATTTACCTTCAGGCTCAGGAGGCAACCAAGGACAACAGCAACAGCTCATATTATTTTGAGAGTCTCTTGGGCTATCCTAACCAACAATTTGAAAGGTGGTTCCTCATACCTGCTAATGGAGGTTTTGCTAGTCTATGGTTCTTGTGGGGAGCATTTTCAGCCATATGTATACATACACATATGTAATTAAGTATAAAATGAGTTCTTTTTTATTCATTCTTTGTTTCTTTCTTATCAAGTGTCTCCATCCCATTCATTTTACCATACCACCCTCTGCCCTTGCAGCCCCCTGATTAAAATAAAATAAAATTTAAAAGAAAAAAAGAGAGAAGGAAAAACATCAATGTTGTCATGGAAGCTGTTGGGTAGCACAGTGAGCCATGCAGTGAGCCCTTTTATCCACCCTGCAACTACCCAGGCCCAGAATGAGGGCTATGTGTTGGCACATCCCAACCTCCACCCTGTCTGTATTCTGCTGGAGCACATGAAGTGTCTGGTTTGTGCAGACCCAAAGCTGCAGGACAACATCAGGATAACAAAGAGGAGCTCCAGAGAGGACCAGGAATCAATAGTCTAGCAGAAATGAGAGACCTCAAACCAAACCAATGCCTCTTCGCAATGAAACTTGCAAGTAAAGGTAGATGGATAAACATGAGTTCTTATGGCTTTCCAAACATCTGTAGTGTTGTCTGTCCAATCTCCAGCTCTTTCACTCTGTACTGAACCCTCCCTCTGCCTAATTCAGTGGTTCTCAACCTTCTAATCCTGCGGCCCTTTAGTCCAGTTCCTCATGTTGTGCTGATCCCCAACCATAAAATTATTTCTTTACTACTTCATAACTGTAATTGTACTACTGTTATGAATCATAATGTAAATATCTGAATGGCAGGATATTTGATTTGCAATCCCCGAAGGGGTGGAGACCCACAGGTTGAGAACGGCTGACTTAATTAAAGTCCCATCCCTGTTCCTCCTATTTTCCCTATATATCCCCTGGATCCTGCCATCCCACTCTGTAGGTCTCACGATGCCATCCTTGAGCAGGTGGTCCTGCGGTGTGTAAGAAAGCAGACTGAGCAAGCAGAGAGAGCAGGTCAGTAAACTATGTTCCTCTGTGGCTTCTGCTTCATTTCCTGCCCCTAGGTGCTTACTTTGGGGCCTCCTTGACTTTCCTTCACAATGGGCAGACTGTAAGTTGAAGATGAGACGGAGCATAACAATAGCCAGCGTGCAATCTGAGCATGTATCTCAGTCTCTCCATCTGTACAGTGGGGTCCTGTCAGCACTTGCTTATATGGTCCTTTGGAGAATTAAATAGATGACTTTTAACTCACCAAGACAGACCTCACTTGAGATGAATGTGATCTACCTGCAGTATTATTATTGCTACTATACTATGTTATAAACACTGAAGTCTTTAAAAATCTCAACTTTAATTTTAAAGCCCTTTGATCTTAAAAAGTGCCTTTTTTTAAAAAAAAAAACTTCTCTGTCAGTTGATGTTGTCAAGGCTTTTTAGCTATCACTAAAGTTTAGTTCTTTTAAGAAATTACATTTATTTGTTTATGTGCGTGTATATGGAGGTCAGACAACAGGTTTCCCCTTTCAGACATACGGGTCTTGGGAATTGAGCTCAGGCCCTCAGGCACTGCACATACACCCGTGGAGTTATGTCACTGGTTCCAAAGCTGAACGTTATTGTCTTATTTCCAAAGAACAAAACAGTGAACAATAACAACACAAAAAGATATAGAAGGGATCAAGGGACATTTGAAACAATATTTGACAGCTTGCTCAACAAAAACAGCAAATCAATGGATTCGTTCCTGAGTTGAGAAAATAATGCCATTTTTCCTTCTGATGTTGTATACATTAGTTTTCTAGAAAAATCACAAATCCTTGGCGCTCAGCCCTATGGGGAGTCATCCAGCCATCATGCTTCCGTTGCTTCTGGAGAAGTTTACGATGCTGTCTCCTGAATTATAAACATGAGTGAGCAGATGGTGTGGGAGAGAAGCTGAACGTCCTCATTTCTATAACTGCAAATTGGTCCTTCAAAGAGACTGCCATCTACAGAGCTCTTCTATGACCTTACCCAAATTACTTGGGCATCAAAAGATGGCATTTGTATTCCAGTCATGATTTTAAAGGGTTTTAAAGCCCATATTAAAATACATCCCTTTAGGTAATGAAGTTAGAATAGAAAAAAATAAAGGAAAAGGAGCATCATTAATTCCTGGGAATAGCCTGGTTAATGTAATTAGCATAACATTTTGTTCTAAACTTCCAGGAAACCAGGCAGAAGGGCAATCCCATTATCAGAAAGAAGGACATAATGCAGCCTCTTGAGATGGTAGGATGGAGGGAACATTGGCTGGGGGTAGGTGTGTGATGCTCTATGCGGCATTTTTCATCCACCAAGGAGTGCTCAGCCCTCATGCATTGGGGCTAGAACAAGCAGTCTATCAAAGGTTGACATAAAGAGAAATTGAATCTAGATCAGCATGGCCCATTTAGTTGACACATTTCCTATTTTGTTTTAGCTAAAGGGAATGGACTAATGGCTTTGCTATGATCAGAACCTGGCTGTGTCCTTGTGACAGGAGTCCCTGTGGAGGACAGGAATACAAAGTAGACAAATGTCTCTCCCTCTCTCCTCATAAAAAAGTTTGTGGCTCTCAGGACTTTTGTTCCTGAGCAAAGATGAAGCTGCCATTTTCATAATTTTTTCTCTAGCTTTGGCTCTGTGATTCTTATTATGTTGAAATCTTGAACAAAATTGTTAGAAAAGAAAGGAGAAGAAAGAGATAAGACAAAAAAGAAAGATGGAATATTGGCTTTGGATATGTAATTCATTGTTTGCCATACAATCTTTGATTTTTTTCTTTAATATTTAGAAAACATAAAAGAAGACATGATACTATCACCAGATTTTTATGATGTCAAAGTTTCTCTGTGTTGACCTGCCTGGCCTGGAACTCCCTCTGTAGACCAGGCTACCTTTGAACTCACAGAGATCTGCCTGTCTCTGCCTCCGCATGCTGGGACTGAAAGGTGTGTACCACTCCATTCAGATAGGATTATTTTGATGTGAGTGATTTCTAAATGTCCTCTGTAAATTTACAAATAGACTTTGTTAGAATAGTTTTAAGTTTGCAGAATAAGTGGTAGAATTCAATAAATGTTGACACCTTATTAATTCAAGGGTACAGTTTATTTTTCTTTAGTTTTCTTGAATGTTTGCCATTCCAGAATACTCTGAGAGACACACTGCATTGGATTTCTTCACTCCCCTGGGTTTCTCTGGACCCTGATGATCTCTCAAATTTTCATAATTGTGACAGTTGTCCTGACAAAACACATTTAGGATTCCTCTCGAGAGCTTAGGAAGGGTTCACAATAAATATAGTATATATTCTTAGAGGACAGTAAGGTGAACAGGAGCTGGTTGGCTGAGCTTTGGCTCAGCATCCCAGAAAGGTGGTTGAAGAAGAAAAAGTCAATGGGGAACAGAGTCCAGGTTGATGGAGGCTTCTGGTCCATTTGGTCCTCTCTCCACAGTCATAACTGTGAGCAGTACGAGTCTTCTCTGTTTTCCTCTTGATTTGACTAAAGTCACTAATTCTTGGGAGGAAGATGACACAAGTAAGGGTCACTTTTATCAAATCCTGAAAGGAGACATAGTGTCCACATGATTGGTCATGGTGGTTGTGCAGCTTAGCCCTTGCCTGGGGGAAAGATTTGGGTTTCTTCACAATGACAAAGCTTCTCCCAACTGTTGCTGACACCAACGCTCTTCAGAAGGAACATGCAGTCCACATATTGAGAGTGGGAACTTCTGTATCAAAGTACATTATTTGGATTTTTTGCTTTTTTTATTCATCTAGAGTTTCATATATGTATGTGATGAAGCATGGTCATATATACATATGCCTGTTTCTCCTTCAGTTCTCTCATAATCACCAACCCAATTCCATGTCTTCCTTTTTTGATAAACTGCTAAGTCTAAGCAGTGCTTCCTATGTGCATGAGTGTGGGGGCCCTCATTCCCCTTTTCTGCAATGTTCCCTGGGCCTTGGCCAATGGTAGGGGCTTTGTTGATAGAGATGTCCAGTTTAGGGCTGACTTCACAAACCTCTCCTCTCAGCATTTGGCCAGCTCTGTGCCTCTACACCCACCACAGCCCACTCCTAAAAGGAGCATCTCTGACCCAGGTTAGAGCAGTCGGAGCTGGACCAGGAATGCTACAGTACCTACCTGCCTGGAAAGAAGTACCCAGTGGGACAGCAGTGGCATGATTATAATGGAATAAGTGGCTCTTTTCTCATAGGACTTAAAGCCTGTTACACAGAAGGGGATTTCACGTCCAGTACTGATCAAAAGCCCGTGGCTAGGGAGGTTTTGCTAAGTGTTGTTAAGTTGTCTTCGAAATAATGCTGCTTATGCCCATCATTTACAATTCTCAGGCAAAAGACATTTGCCTCTTGCTTCTTTACTCATTTATTGATGTGAGTATAAACTCATGAGTGTTTATGCTTTAGGTTGGATTATAATCTGATTCCACTTTATTTGATGCCTCAGTTTTCTCATCTTTTGCCACTGGGAAATTTTTAGTTGTTTACTATGTCCTGTTGCATGTCTGTGTCGATTTAGGCTTTTGGTTAAGCACTTTTTTTTTTTTTTTTTTTTTTTTTTTAGTCTCCTGGTACTAAAAGATGTTCCAGAAGCCTCTGGATATTGACTACGCAGCTCAAAATCAGCCATGCCCCAAGGAGAAGGGCAGAACGGAAACTGCACCGGTTAGTTGTTACTGCCAAGCTGACACAGTGTAGTGTTACCTGACAAGGTATCTTAGAAAAGGCATTGGCCGGCTCAGACAGGCCTTTGGCCATATCTTGATTGTTGGTTGATATGGAAGGGCCCCGCCCACTGTGGGCAATGCCATCCCTAGGCAGGTGGGTCTGGGCCATGTGAGAATGGTAGGTGAGCATGAGCCAGTGGGCAAGCCAGTAAGCAGTGTTCCTCCATTCTTTCTGCTTCACGGTCCTTCTTTCATTACCTCCTTTTGGTGTCCCTGGATAATGGGATAATATTCAGTCTGTAAGCTGAATAAAGACTGTCCCTCCCAAGTTTCTCTGGTCATGGCATTCATCACAATATCAAAAGCAAACAGGGCCAGCATGGATTATGAAACTCATCTGAGTTTCCAGTCCTCACTGGTGACAGAATCGGGATGAGAAGAACAGGTAGTTTCCACTCATAATTTTTACCTATTTATTTTAAAGTACAAAGAACATTTCTGCAAAAATTGTAAGCAAGCATGGGATTCAGTAGTCTTTTTTACAGACCTCCAGGCAAAGCTAGGAGATGCGTGAGACTATAAACTTTGCAACTTGCTGGATGTCACACCATGCAGAAGAAACACCATGGAAGTGTCCAAAGATTCATCGTGATCTTGACAAATTCACTCGACTGTGCCTTTTCTCAGAGAATGAAGGTCCCTGTTGCAGTCTGAGAGGCTGTTGACATAGAAAGACACCTCTGTGAGTCTTTGTCAGGACTACAAGGGTCATGGCAAGGATTCTCTAGCTCCATAGCTATAGACATTCTATAGCTTTATAGCTAGAGGGACTGGGGTCTCCACAGGAAGCTGTCTCTTTAAGATTTCAGGTCTCTTGTTCATGATTGTTAGTCCTGGACAGCTAATGGAAACCCCCAGGAACATTCAAGCAATAATTCAATGAATTAAGAATGCCTTAGATTGAAGGCTAGACATATGAATCAAGTTGGGTCTTATTACAGGAGCCATAATTGAAAGCCCTCAGATATTTTGGAGGCAGAACATACTCCACAGAATAGTACCTGGAAAAGATATTAGAACTGCATGCTGGGGCTCTAAGTATATGTTTTTCTCATGATTAAAACTCATTGCTGTTCACATCCTGTTACTTGGAGGGAAGCATTATTTGCTAATCAGAATGATCCACCGGGATTTGCCAGGCAGGACTTTGTTCTTCTCAGACTTCCTTCCTTCTAGTACTTCCCTGGGGTGCTGGCCCCAGGAACTCCTGTTCTCACATTTCAGTTTAATTTCCTTCCAATGGTTTATTGCCTTATTAAATATCTTCCTTTTCAAAAGTTTACTAGGCATGTTCTGTTGCTCTTTCTTGCCATCTTGTGTGTGCGCAGAGCCCTCACTTGAGAAGCAGAATCAAGGATACAGGTGAGTGTTAGAGGTGAGTTGTCCCCATCATCATTACAATGACCTCTATTTTATTTTCTCCCACGAATATATCACAGACATAAGATCAGATGCGTTAACATTTCTGATGAGCATCACAATTCCGACGAACTTATGCAAAGTCCTGTATGTGTATTGTTTAAGTTACACTTTGTAACTGTTACAGTTCTTTCTGTTCTAGGGACGTTCAGTGACAGGTCTTCTTGAATGCTAGCCAGCATCTGTTGCTGTTAGGGCTCAGCCAAGAGATGAGAACCAAGTCAGTTGTCTGTATAAGAAAGCTAATAATACAAAATGTCCCTAATTAGGTATAAAGACATGTCGATTAAGCAATTGAACAGTCAAGAGAAACCAATTACGAATCATGGAAATCTCAACTGATGCCCGCAGAGCTCAGGGAACACTGCAGAAGGGAGGGTGATAGGATTGTGGGAGCCGGAGATGAAGCGGACCTCTGTGAGTGGTGTCTTCTGGACACCATGGGCCTTTGCGCTCATGAATTCCCGGCAGCTGTGGGGCCTGTGTAAGCCCTGGAAAATGTCAAGTCAGTCAATGTTATAGCATGGATAAGGGAGGGGCCGGGGAGCGGCTCCAGTTCCCAGCTGAGCAGCTTCTGGCACTGGCTGCCGAGGGAAGGTCAGCTTTTCTCAGGGGTGTGGCATTGGGCGCGTTGATGATGCTCTCGCGGATAGCTTCCCATCCACATGTGTTTGGATAGCACTAATTCTGTACTCTGTGAGCTATTAGAAAAAGAGGATATGAAATTGCAGGAGACTAGAGGCATCTAGAAAGAATTGGAAGGGGAATGTCAGGGTGGGTATGATCAAAATGCACAGTAGGCATCTGTGGAGCTTTCTGATAACAGTGGCCATGAAGCAACAATGGAAGAATCATAGAAACACCAACTTCAGAAGGCCGATACCATTCTGAGCTGGCAGAACAAAAGAAAGAAGGCGAAATGCCCAGTCCTGGGTGGCTTGGTGGGGAGCTCTACCTAGGCAGGGGTGACTGAGAATGGAACTTGACTTTCCTGGCGTATGTATGCATCAAGAGACATCAGGATGTGTGGCCTAGTCCTGTGAGGAGGGGACATGGGCTAAAGGGTTAGAGTTCCTTGGTGTCACAATCATGGTGTCCCTGCGAACATGGGGATGGGTGTTGCTCCTGGCAGGGAAGAGACTCCAATGCATGGTGATGCTGTTGGGAACCTGAGAAAGGAGGTCACCCTGGGTGGTTGCTATTACCCATATTATCTCTGGAGTCTGAACCGCTTACCACCGCAGCTCTGTGACCCTGAGTGTTGGGATCAATTGAGTCCTGGCCTTCAGCTGCTCTTCCCTGCTAGAGCCTTCTAATTGAAGATGCTAAAAGCTGTGCTTTGCCTAGAGGATCAGAGGATAGGATTTTCACCTGTTGGCCATTGACTGCAGGGTATTTAAGCCTCCATGGTTCTATTAAAGAGGGGCTTTTGGTACCAGTGATTGGAGGTCCGTGTGTTGGTCTGTCTCTGCGTGTGTTTCCTCAACCTCCAGCCCCTTGCCCTGAGTTTGCGAACTAGGTTCTAGTGCATAGAGTGCAGACTGGGGGTATGTGATGTGCGGCACCTGAGCTAGTTACTAACTCTCTCAGCATCTGTTTCCCAGGCGTAAATGAGGCTGCTGCTCCTTGTTTGATAGTTCTGAGAATGGAGAGGGACGGTCTTGGTGAATCTCTTGGCAAAGTAGCTGGGACACAAGCTTCAGTTCCACGTGCTGATAAACGTAGGGGATTTCAATCACTGGTTTCTCAGATTGGAGCGGTTTTGTTCTACAGCACATTTGGCACTCCTGGAGATATTAAAGATCACCATGCCTTGAGAGCAGCAATATAAACTCCTGCCAAAGATGCTGCTGAATCCAGGCCTGGGATCCACCGAACACCACACAGCACACAGAACAGCAAACCGATATATGACTCCAAGTATTGGCAGTGCTCAATTTTTTTTTTGTCTACCTGGTTTGAGTGGGCCATGGTGACCCATTTCTATAATTTAAGAACTCAGAGTCCAAGGCAGGATGAGGAACATGGTGGAGAGAGCAGATTCACCTCCTCTGCCTCGTTAACTGGGATTAGGGCGAGAGGCTTAACCTGACCACCGGGACATCTCAGTTATTTTTCTCATTTCTGTGACAAAACGCTCAACAGGAAAACATAACTGATGAGGATTTGCTTTCGCTTGTGGTTCCAGTCAGCTACCCCGGAGTAGACCATGGCTTATTGGTCCTCATACCAGAAAGCCAAGAGCACTGGTCAGCACTAGAGACAGATCTAACTAGAGCTCACAGGCCATATTCGGTCAGTTCTGCTAGGGAGCAAAACCCCACCAAACTGAGAGGAGCACTGACATTTCTTTCCCCCAGAGTTTCCTATCTGTCCTGCGTCAACGGGGTTTGAATGTCTTTAAACAGTCAGGAGTCTCTTGTTAGATCACATTTTTACATTTCCTTAGAACTTGTAACAAGACATCCCTATCACCATCTTCAAACTGCTCTGTGGGCTTTTATGAGTATGTGTATGCAAACATTTGTTTTGAACCAGTAATTATATCATTTTCTCTATTAGATTTCTCACTCCAGAAAAAAATAGCCATTTTCTATAGTCAACTTGTCCTGCCCTGAGCTCTGGAAATGTAGTCGTTCTCTTCCAAGTCATGTTAGTGTTACCAGGAAAAGACAAACAAAGCAAACTCACTGAACAAAGTTTCTCAGCGCTCAATGGTTTATGGACAAGAGTGGCACATTCTCCTTAGCTCTTCCTTTCTTCAGCGACTCTACCTGCAGTGTTAAGGTCTCTATGTCTCTCCCTTTGCAGCAAGCTGCTGTTTCCATGGCACCGGTCCTCACATCAAATGAGAGTCCAGCCAGTACAGCCCAGGTATCATCCACATCGCTGGATGCATTGGTCACTTTTTACAAGAGGAGAGACGCCAGGTTTTTCTCCTTCTGCGACTTCACTCCTGCGCTCCTAATAACAAGGTTAAAACGAAAGTGGCAAGACCCCTTTGTATCTGGCGGATACATGCTTTCTCCCAGTTACAGACGAGACACAAAGAGCGCCATTGACTGCGTAACAAAGAGTCTCGGATCATTAGCACTGAACCACCTTATTACTCTGTTTTAATTAGCCCCCTAATTATTTTCAGCTGCTACTAATGAGCTTCCACTGTGGTAAGAAACACGTCCTTAAGTAAACGCATTGAAAACTGCTTTTCAGCTCAGTGGAGAGGGAATTAGAGCAGGTTTATGGGAGGTTTCGCTCAGAGGAGGGGATTATGCTAGGAGGGTCCCGGGGACTTTTGCTCAGTGGAGGGGTATGGAGCAGGGTCATGGGGACCCCGGATCCGTGCAAAGGGCATGCCAGGAGGTTCATGGGAACTTTTCCTGTGGGGAAGTAATTGTACCGAACTTCATTAAATAATTACCCTTATTCCACATTTTGATTCAACTTTTTCATGAGTTTTCAATTTTCAGAGCTGACAGGTCCTCAGACTATAGCTTGGTTTAATTTCACACAAATATGGGAAAGTAACTTTTACCTTATATCACATTTAAAATTATTTTTTAAATCATTTTTATTTTATTATTTGATGTGTACTAGTGTTTTGTCTGC